TAAGTGTTGAGGAGAGACCATTGGCTAAAGATGTTTAGAAGTTAACCAATAGTCTCATCTATTAAAAGATTTCTGGGAAAGTGGTGGCTTGATTGCTTTTATAAAGGTACATTCTTCCTTAGTTGAGCAGATTCATGAACGCTAGTTTGATGATGAGAACTTGTGTCTCATTTAATAAAAGGTGTTGAGTGGGGAAACCAAGAAGGTTGTGCTTGATTTTTATTGTGTCTTGAGGATTGGAGGCAGGATTTGTGTGCCCAAGATGGGAAAGTTGACTAGATTCATTCTAGACAAAGCTCATTGTTCTCGATATTCCATCCATATAGGAGAAACAAATATGTATCATGATCTGAGTTAACATTCATGGTGGTGTGGCATGAATAGGGATATTGCAAATTTTGTGTCTAGATTATTGACTTGCCAACGATCAAGTGTGAGCACCAACAACCCAAAAGTGTATCTCAGAGGATGTCCATTCCTACATAGAAGTAGGAATGGATTACTATGGATTTTGTTGTGGGTCTACCTATCACCGTGGGTGGTTATGAGTCTATTTGGGTGGGCTTCGACAGGTTGACCAAGTCTACCCATTTCATCCTAGTTCGGGTGAAGTATATAACATAGAAGTTAGCCAGTTTTATATCAGTCAGATTGTTTGACTTAATAGAATGCTTATTTCTATTGGCTTTGACTGAGGATAATTGTTTACATCTCACTTTTGGAGGGCTTTACAATATGGTATGGGTACTCGGTTAGATATGAGTACAATTTTCACCCTTAGACTAATGGTCAGTCCGAGTGAATGATTCAGGTGTTAGAGGATATGCTCCAAGCTTGTGTGATAGATTTTGGTACTCGGTTGGATTTGTACTTTCCCTTAGAAGAGTTTCCTACAACAACAGTTATCACTCTAGTGTTTAGATGGCCCTATTTGAGGTGTTGTAGAACTTTAATTGGTTGGTTCGATTCGGCGGAGATGGACTCTTTAGACATAGACTTGCTTAGAGATGCCATGGAACACGTCCGTATGATTTTGGGTAGACTATTGACAGCCCATAGTTGATAGAAAAGTTATGCAGACCGGAGAGTTTGAGCCTTAATGCTTATATAGGGTGATTATGTTTGGCTCCAAGTGTCACCCATGAAGGGTGTGATGAGGTTCGGAGAAAAGGGCAAGCTTATCCCTATTTCATTGAAACTTTTGAGATTCTGAGCAGAGTAGGAAATGTGGCCTACAAATTGGCCTTGCCACTTAGCTTGTTAGAAATGCATCCTATGTTTTATGTCTTCATGCTTTGGAAGTACGTGTCAGATAAGTCTATGTGTTTTCGCTTGATTTAGTAATGTTGGGTCCAAACTTGTCCTTGTAAGGAGGATCTTATAGCCATCTTGGATAGGCAAGTCTAAAAGTTTAGGACCAAAGAGATTGCTTTAGTGAAGGTGTGGTGGAAGCACAGTTCAACTGGTGAGGCAACTTGGGAGACAGAGTCTGACATGCGTGCTAGATATCCCCAGTTTTTTAGGCTTCAGGTACTTTCTTTGACTTTATGTTTGAGGGAAAAAATGGTTTTTAGTAGTGGATAATGTAATAATTCGGAAGGTCATTTTTGAATTATTTTTATAAAATTATCATTTTACTCCTCCCGATACTGGCCCCAAGTCATTTCTGATTGGATTTTGAAACTGGTCTCGAGTTTTGAGTTAAAAGTTATGAATTATGGAGATTTTGGATATTTGGAAGGCTAACATTGTTAAAAAGTAGTTTTCGATGTCTTTTGAAGTTTTGAGTCTCAGAATAGAATTTTGTCGATTCCATTAGTCCCACAATGTGGAATTTAGTTTGAGAGAGTTTTCAGTTTCAGATTTAGAGTTTTTTCGTGGATTTGAGGTCCTAAGTAGGAAGTTTATAAATTTTAGCCTTTGGGTTGACTTTGGTAAACATTTGGGATTCGGATAATCAGATCAGACTTTCGACAGTTCCTTTGGATTTGGGGCCGGGGATGATTTTATGTTTATGAGAGGTCTTGGTTGAATTTTCAGAGATCTCGAGCTTGATTTGGTAATTTTATGTGTTACGTTTGTTTCTTGTGACTTTCAAAGATTTTGGGTTAAGGGGACCTCAGATTCGTGTTTTGATGATATCATTGTGTCCAGAACGTTGATTACAGTCAAGTAGAAATTTGGTTTGTATGTACGAGGTTCGGGACAAATCTCGATAGTCCTTTCAGAGAATGTGGGTTTGGTTGGTTTTCTGTTGTTGTATCTTGTGTTTCCCTTGTCTGCGAAGCTTGCCACATTTGCATAGGGACTTGTGAGTGGGTCTCCGCATTCGCGGAGAGACTCCCGCATTCATGGAGGGTCAGGCTTCATTAAAGTCCGCATTTACGGATAGGGGTCTGCGTTCGCGGAGGACCCCTGGAAAGAATATTTTCCAAATTTTAGGGTTTCATCCCCATTTCTCCATTATTGAGTTTTGGGAGCTTTGGTGTGACGATTTGAACAAGATTTTTTAGAAGAAATATTTGGGTAACAATTTCTAATCTTAAATATTCATTTACTCATTATTGTTTATGATTATAAGTGTTTAATCAAGGTTTTGAAATGATAAATTGGGGGTTTTCAAGAACTTAGGTTTTCATAGAATGTGTTTCATCTTTCTATGAGGCTTTTATAGGATTTTGAGAGGTAGCTACTTGTCATCCCGATGGGTCCTCTTGTTTATTACTTTATGTTTTATTCTATTCGATAAACAAAGACATGAGACTTGTATTTATCTTTCAATTCCTTATTTTATGCATTGAGGCATGTACATGTGACAATCAAATTTTGGTGGTATTTGAAATTGGCAACGTTTTCCGCACTTATGCTATTGTTGATTTATTTTCAACATTTCTTTCATTTTGTTGGGTATGAGGCTGACTTGTCTTGATGGGATTAGAAGAGTGTTATCACGTCCATTTTTGGATCGTGACATTATAATATCACAACTTTAATTAATTTGATAATTTTCTATAGTATCGCTCACCTTTATTAATCACAATTTAATTCTTTGTTGTTGAATCTAAATATATGTTTGACAAATTTTGATATCATAATTTACATAAATAATTTCTTGCATAAATATAATCATTTTTAATCAACCTAAAAAGAGAAAAGTATTTGAAATTTGTATCCTTTATATATATATCTTTTATCATTTACTTTCTAGATCAAATCATGACCGTCAATCAATCTCATCCAACGGCTTACATAAATTATAGACTTAGAAGTCTATACGTGTTCTAACTCCCAATTTTCTCTTCATTTCACACTACATAATGCTATTTCCTCTCATCTAAACAACCCTAAAGGAACCTAGACGCCGCTCCTATCAACTCCATTAATGGATTTCCCTATCTCTCTCCCTCTTCATATATGAAATCTAAAGACCTCGATCTTTGATTGTTAACTTCGGCTTAGAATAATCCCTCAATTCCCACACAAATTTAATTCAAATCATAAGCTATCACCATGGGATCTGAACTTTTTGGGGTATGTTTTTCTCTTTCTTGTCTTCTCCTTCATTGTTTCAAATCAATTTATCATCTTCCTCTCAAAAAGCTATATTAGGATTCAAACTTCTAGTTCAGCTATAAAGACATGGTATTGGTTGTTATTTTTCTCAGAGGTTTTTATTTATGTTTAAAAGAAAGTGAATTGCTTAATGAGTTTGAGATCATTTATACCATAAAGATGTCAGGGAAGTATATATGTTATAACAATCACATTTATATCATAAATAAAAAGAGTAGAAGAAAGTTTAGCTTTAGAAAATGTGATATTCTTATTTATCTGATATCTCGGAAGGGACCTCAGATAGGGGGTTTTGAGGTCAAAAATTAGGTACAAGGTTAGTAAATAGTCGAGTGTTGTGTTTATGCATTTCAATAGTATTAACACTAATCTCGTAGTTTCTTTCCCATCAATTCTGATAATACTTGTCGTTTTTTTGCTTTTGTTATCACATTATTTTAAAGTTGCAACTATTTCTTTTTGTAAATGTTAATTGATAATTTTTTTATTATTTGTTATGTTTGCTTTTCATTTTTATGCTATTTTTATCATGTGTTTGTAATGAGTTACTTGAGCCAATGGTCTTTTAGAAACAACCACTCTATCTCCATGAGTTAGGGTAAAGTTTGCTTACACCTACCATACCCATACCCTGCCTAGTAGAAAGTGAACTTAATAGTAAAAAATGATAATATTTAATACTAATAATTTTGTCAATGAGTTTAGCTTTCTTGTGAATAACTATAGTATTACGTATCTTGCCGACTATAATAGTATTGCTTCTCCATATTTTCTCTTGTTTTTATAATGATACAACATGTAATGAGGTAAAGTTATGAATTTTGTTTTCACTTACCGTGTGACTTTGGTAGTTCAGAGTTTCTCTCGAATTTGCAAGTAAATAAGAATCATAAAGAGAAAAGAATTAGAAATGTACTTTTAGCTTTAAATTTTTTTTTCTTCTAGATTAAGAAGGAACTATTATCGTTAGTTTTATTTTTGGTATTTTTCACACAAATATGTAACACATGTCAAATGTATGCATGATCTTATTTGTATTTTTATATATATAAAAAACATATAAAAAAATTTTCTAATCAATTAATTAATCTGCAAGGTCATTCGAGAGTATTATTATTATTATTATATATATTATTTCCTCATGACATTAAACTTCTTCACTTATTATCTACTAGTTATATACTTGCAAAAGCTGCTCAGAATTTAGCACATTCATGATAGTGTTTTAAAATGTTGAGACTAGTTTTTTTCCCTCTAGTTTTGCTTTGAAAAGTATCTGAATGACAACAATTACCAAGTGTTGAGACTATTGTTTTCATAGTAATTGATGTTTCGATCTAAATTTTTGTTATTTGTTAGTGCGAAACTCAATTGTATAACAAAAAATTGGTCATCTATTCATAGGGTTGATTAGAAGATCTGTTGTAATGGATTTTTCGGGCAAAGAAAATGATGTGGAAGAGTCTTTATCACCTGGAGTGTTTGATATACCTGGAGAGCCGGCTGTTGTTATTAATGGATTGCCTCCTATTTCTTCAAATGATGACACCTTTTTACCTTGCCCAGTAGTTATTGATGCAGAATCACATAAGAATATTGATTTTGGTCAATTGTTTGAAGGAAGAGAAGTTCGCAAGTTATTTGAAGACAAGTATTACAATGGAAAAGTTACTAAATTTGACGAGGAAACTGGTTGGTTCAGGGTGAAGTATGAAGATGGTGATGACGAAGATCTTGAGTGGCATGAATTGGAAGAAGTTCTTCAGCCATTGGACATTAATATTCCATTGGAAGAAGTAGTTAGAAAGATCATTAAGAAAAAACCAAGTTCTATTGAGAAATTTGGGGGTAGAACTTGAAATTATGGTGTAAAAATGACAAAGACATGGTAAAGAAAAATATCGTATTTATGTAGAACTGTGAGTATGTCAAACATTACATGGAGTACTTTTAGCTCCTGTGGATAGAATAGCACATTATCCCATTTCATGAGCAAGCCATAAGAATTCTGAATCATCTTGTGGAGATGTGGTATAGTTAGTTGAATCACTGTAATTTTATCGACCAATTTAATAATCATTAGTCCAATGACATCATTTCTGCAATATCTTTGAAGTTTTCATTATAAGTAGTTGTGTAAAAATATTTGCTTGGATATGCTTATTTTAAATTGCTTTTAAGCATAAATTATTAAGTTGGAAATCTCAACTTTTCAGTTTTAGTTTCTCTATTTTTGTTGTTAATCAAACATTACGAAAAATCTTAAAAACTTTTTTTGTTTTGTTTTTTTGGAAGAATAAAAAATAAGTCAATCTATATGTGTTCTTAGTATGCGTTTGACCATAGATTTCAAATTTTTTAAATTTCTTTTTCAAAAAAAAATAATTATATTGTTGGAATTGAAGATAGAGTTGTGTTTGATATTACTTTCTTGCATTTTTTTTTTTTTGTAATATTAGAAGGTAATTAAATACAACTCTAAAAGTGAACAATGCGTTAAAAAACAAGTTATAAGTTATTTTTAAAATTTGAAATACAACTTCAAGTTAGATTTATGATTTTCATGGCTGAACACTGAATAAAGTAAAAAATATTTTGAAAAAAAAGTGAATCATTTTTATGGTCAAACAAGTTCTATTAAATGAAGCATCAAAAGAAGGATTTATAAAAAGAAGATGCAATATAAATTTAAGCTCTATACATAGTTGATATAAATATTTTATATATCATCAATATAATTAATACATTATAACATGTCACTTAACATTTATTCTAGGTTATTAAAGTAATCTTATTAAAAAAATTACACTGTAAATATGTATTATTCTACACTATATAATGCTCATTTCAATTTGTAACAAATATAATATTTATTCACAAAAGAGAACCAGGCCTGATGGGTTCTCAAAGGTGCAGCTCATTGGAGTCAAATAAAAAAATGAACTCTAATATACATTAGGATGGATTAGTGAATTTGTCGAAAAAAGAATTGTGCTATTGACCATATATCACATGAATTTTAACAATAATCATGTTAATTAATTTTGTATTGTTAAGAAAAAATAGTGATTCGAAAATTATTTATATAGCTTTCAAATAGTAAACTATTGACCACATATCACACGAATTTTAACTACAATTATGTTATGGATCTTTTATAATTAGTAAGAAAAATAGTGATTCAAAAATTATTTATGTAACTTCCAAAAATATAAATTTCGGGATCTTTTACTACTAAAAAAATAGCAATTCATAAATTATTTATGTAACTTCCAAAATTACATCATGAATACACATAATTATACACCTTTTTAATGAGTTGTTTTAGACTAAAACAAACATAAAATTCGTTTCCACTCATTGGATTCAAATAAATATTTCTGGAATCTAATTCTTAATAGTATGAATTTAGTGAATTCATCGAAAAAGAAATTATACTATTGATCATATATCACATGAATTTTATCTATAATCATGTTGATCTTCTACTATTAAGGAAAAAATGTGATTCATAAACTATATATGTTGCTTCCAAAGTAGAAATTCATTCCAAGTTATTAATTGATACATACAAAAAATAGTCTAACCATCAATGCATATAATTATACACTTTTTATTGGCACATTTCAACCTAAAATCAATGATATTTACTCGGAGTTGGTTAATCTTGTTACAACATAAATCATTAGTCGAGTTTAAACCTTGAATCCTCGTTATTATCTCTTTTCCTAGGTTTTACACATTTTTACTCAAACAAGTCAAACCTAGGGCAAGTTATAATATTTTCAACTATTAAAATCGATTAATACGAAAGAACTAATAAGGTATACACTCTCAATACAAGTTTTGTTATGTAAACACCATTTGTTTAGGTTAAGTCATCACAGATTCCACAACCCTTGGTTGTTGGTTTAGCCACTCATGATAATTGAAGTAAAGTATGAAATTGTTTCCATTGAATACAAATTTACTTACAAAGTTAAGGCAATCATACAATCATTGATTTCAAAAATTAAGTCAAATTTGAATAAAGTCTCATTCAAGCGTACAATATTCTTTGCTAAAATCAAGATAATAAATAAAACCTATAAAAAAAAATTAAATTCTTCGCTAAAATTAAGATAATAAAATAACCCCTAAAAGAAATACTCTACATAGCTTCAGGAAAATTGAAATTTAAAATAAGACAGTTAACCCTACGAAGAACGTCTGACACTTAGCCTGATCGACCATCAAAAGTGTGACGGTCCGTCACTTGCAAAGTTGTGCCCTATCAGTAGCTTCTTGGAAGACCCTTAGCACTGGTCTTCCCGATGGACAGTCGCTTGTGATATGGTTCATCATGTGAACCGTTAGATACACCCTTTCAAACATGCTTCTAGTTCCCTCTGACGTTATACCCGATGGTCTGTCGGACAGGTGACGGTCCATCAGGTTTCCATCAATGATGTACTTTGTCCTGAGCTTAGCTCCTTTTTTCTTATTTTTCCTTGTTGTGTGATTTCCTATCTAAAATAGTAGAAAAATATCATTAAATGACACTAACATTGCTTAAAAAACTAGCATTTATTCATAGTTAAAAGCATCAAATGTGTCTTCTAATGCCAACACATTAGGAAACTACCTATTTATTGGTGTATAGAATAGAAGCAATAATACCAACTGAAGTTGAGATATCATCATTAAGGATTATTCAAGAAGCCGAGTTGAGCAATGTTGAATGTGTTTGTAATCTATATGAAAAATTGGCATTGATCGATGATGTCACGATCTAAAAATGAATGTGATGGCACTCGTCTAATCTCACCAAGACAAGTCAACCTCAAACCCAACAATACGAAAGAAATACAGAAAGTAAAACAATAATAGCTTAAGAGCGGAAAACTTAGTCATTCTAAAATATCCAAAATCTGGTTGTCACGTGTAGAAGCAACTAATATATTAATAATGATCACATGGGTCCGAACTCGGAACCTACACAAGTGTCGAAGCAAGGAGTGAGTACCAAACAACACAATACTCAGCAAGCAAACAAGGTAAAACTAAGCTAGAATACGAGTACTCCTTTTATCCCAACCAAACTGCCTTAACTACAAACGACATAGTAATCAACCCAACCTAACAGTTTACAATACACAACTCACAATGCTTAATAATCATAGTCCAACCATCACAATTCAATAAACAACAAGTCTGAAGTATGTCACTCACAAGTATCAAGTAGATCAATCATAAGTATCAAGTAGATCAATCACAACTATCAGGTTCATCAAATCACAATAGTCAAGCGCTTGTCGAAACCATTTTCCATCGACACAATATCACTCACCGAAACTATTTTTCATCGGCTTTATATAATGTCACTTGCTGGAACCATTTCCCATCAGCATAATATCACTTACCGGAACCATTTTCCATCGGCACAATATCACTAACCGGAACCACTTACCATCAGCCGAAATCATTTCTCATCGACATAATTACCACATGTGTCATCACAATGTACATAAATCAATGCAAATAGGAAAATTCATACAATAAGAAAGAGACAATAAACTCAAGAAATTCAAGTCCACAGTGATGCCATCAAAGCATTTCATCAATCAACAAGTTAGGATCAACATCAAGGCAATTAGCAAAACACAACTATCAACACATTGCCTTTTTCATATTTTTGTATCTTGTGTCCCCCATGTTCGCGAAGCTTGGCCGTGTTCGCGGAGGGACCTGTGAGTGGGTTCCCACATTCACGGAAAGGCTCATGCATTCACGAAATGTCGGACCTCATTAAAGTTTGCATTTACAAATAAGGGTCCGCGTTTATGGAGGAGTCTGGACAGAATGTTTTCCAAGTTTTAGGGTTTCATCCCCATTTCTCCATTTTTAAGTTTTGGGAGCTTTGGTGTGGCGATTAGAACAAGGTTGTTTAGAAGAAATATTTGGGTAACAATTTTTAATCTTAAATATTCATTTACTCATTATTTTTTATGATTATAAGTGTTTAATCAAGGTTTTGAAATGATAAATTGGGGGTTTTCAAGAACTTGGATTTTTGAGGTATCAAGTGGCTCAAGTGATCTTTCTCCTTCATCATTTTATGAGCCTCTTAGAGGATTTTGAGAGGTAGCTACTTGTCATCTCAACTGTAATGACCTATTCCTGTCGTTATAGAAAAGCCAACGAGGAAATTTTTTGGGCCGAAAGACTTTTTCATAGTAACTTGGATTTTCCCAACCTTGTCTAGATTTGGACGGAATCGGAGCCATTAAAGTCTAGGGAAATCTGGTAGCGATTGGGCAATTTAATTATGACTTTTATTGCATGAGTAGATAGCTAAGACGTTAAGGTAATTGTACGACTTTACGGAATTGAATTCGGGTGAGTAGAACTCCCAAAATTTATCTTGGCGTGAATGGATAATTTCTGGGATTCGTTGGTTGAAAGTGTGTTGTGAAATGGGGGTATTGGAATTATTAATTGCTCACTGTTTCGTGCAAGTCTCTATAACAGGATTTCTACCACCAAGGCGGAGCCGCTGTAGCAAGGTGAGACCCTGTGGCGGGATAGACGCGACTTAAAGTCGGAATTAAACTCCAAAAATGTTTTATTCTGTAATTTTTGAACTTGAGAGCTAAGGAACGAACCCAGGAAACTTCTTGACAGTTTTCCACCTTTTTTGAGGCTAAAAATAAGGTTTTAACTCCCTGAATCCATTTTTCGATCCGTAGAACATAATCTAATGGGTAATTATCGATGTGAGAGGATTTTGATCTGGAATTTATGGTGGAAACAACCCTAATTTGGATATTGGGATCAAAGGTTTGATCTAGGGTTGATAAAATTGTTAGTAATTCGGGCAATTAGTTATTGTTTATTGATTACCATGTTATATTGATCGTTTGTAGACCAAGAACAAGCGGAATGAATCCGAAAAGGGAAGAATCAAGTTTCTTAGGGGATTCAAGCTTGTTTCGAGGTAGGTGGTGGTTGTGAATTCATGATTGTGTGATATATATATTTGTTCTTGCATCATTATAATGCATGCATATATGCGAATGTTGCATTATTTATCACACTAATTGTAAATGAGGATAGATGAATGATGTTTCCATGAAATCATGACTTGATTGTATGATTGTGAGAATATATTTGTGATTGTGATTGTGGCTTATTGAATGGATCGGGTGTTGCGTTCCGACATACTAACTTTGATCGGTTGCCACATTCCGACATAATTTTGGGATCGGTTACCATATTTTGGCATAAATATTGGATCAGGTAGCACGAACTGGTACACTAACAGTTTGGGTTTTGGTTCCATGAGAGGACCATTGACTTGACATAATTGTGTAACTGAGAAATATGAACTTGATCGTTATCCGTAAATGATATTGATATTGTATATGTTCGGTGTATGCATGTTTATTATGTTGTAATGGCTTATGTATGTTGCACACAGTGGGGTAGCCGTGTGATCCTACCAGTACACCGTGGTTGTGTACTGATATTGCACTTGCTCTTTCTTTGTTGAGTACAGGGCATCTTCAGGCGGTTATTGATAAACCTCGCTTAGAAGATCAGTGATAGTTCGAATTCAAGGGTAAGCCAGTTCTTTCGAAATGCCATGAGTTCTCTTTCTGTTTAAGTCCATATTTCGGACTTAGACTTTCTAGTTAGTTGTTAGTACATTATTTTGGGGTTGTAACCCTTCTTGTTTAGATTTATGGATCTTGTTAGAGTTTTGGTACGTTGACTTTCAGGTTCTAGGTGTTACTTCTGTATTTGTTTAGTTGTTAGACTATTGATTTGGAGTTCATGGGAATTCCCTATTTTTTTTCTTAGCATTTAACTTGCTTTCGTAACCTTAAAAACTTTAGTATTTTGATTAAGTTGGTTAGCTAATTAGTATTAATGGTTGATCTCCCACCGGAGGGTTAGTGTGGGTGTCAATCACGATGGTCTGGGTCGCCACAAAGTTGGTATCAGAGCCTAGGTTCGTTGATCTCGATGTACCAAAATGAGTCTAGTAGAGTCTTGTGGAACGGTACGGAGATGTCTGTACTTTTGTTCGAGAGGCTATAGGACTTTAGGAAATCTCTCTGTTTTCTCGTCTCCTTTCGTGCTAAAACTTAATTCCAATTGGTATTTGTCGATTCAAATTGGTATCTAACCTCCTTCACTCTTTTGTCCGTAGATGGTTAATACTAGATTCAACGACGTTGGTCCCGTAGCTCTCGTCAATGCTCCAGCTGAGGAATCTGTAGCGAGAGGTCGCGGTCGAGGAAGGGCAGCACTTACTAGGGATGGAGCACCGGTTGGAGATGCTCCCAGAAATGAGACCCCTCCTGCGCATCATGAAGAGATAGAGGAGAACATAGAGGTTGAGGATGAGGATAAGGATAATGTTGGGCAAGAGGAAGAGGTGCAGGCTGAGAATATAGGTATTCCTCCTTTGGACCCTGTGTTAGCTCAACAGATCATGTCATTCTTGAAAGGGTTGGTTGGTCCTGGAGTGCTTCCTTCTGTTCAAGCAACTCAAGCTCTTGCCAATCCCCTTAATGCTATCACTGTGCCCAAGGTGGGTGGAAATGAAGGTAATGATGCTTTCTTCCGTCCTTTATTGGGTCATGTTATGACTGGTAATGAGCATGAGATATTGACTAAGTTCTTGAAGTTGAAACCGCCTGTGTTCCTTGGTTCTGAGAGTGAGGATGCATATGAGCTCATCCTGGATTGCTATGAGAGGCTTCATAAGTTGGGAATTGTCCATCAGTATGGGGTTGCGTTCGTGACTTTTCAACTGCAAGGTGAGGACTAAGCAGTTGTGGAGAGCTTATGTGGAATGCAGATCTTCAGTTTTACCTTCACTTACTTGGACCCAATTTCATGCTCTGTGTTTAGAGAAATATATGCCTAGGACCTTGAGAGATCGCAAGAAGGATGAGTTCATGGCTTTGGAGCAAGGTCGTATGTCTGTGGCTGCTTATGAGGCCAAGTTCCATGCCTTGTCTAGATATTCTACTCAACTGGTGACTACTTAGGAAGAGAGTATATGTTTATTTATTAAGGGACTAAATTCTGAGTTGTAAGTATTATCTGTTCATATGACCTCTGCAGGGAAAAGCTTTAATGAAGTGACAGACTTTGTGAAGAAAGTGGAGGGGGTGAGGCGAGACGGTCAGGCCAAGGCATTGGCTAAGAAAGCCAAAAATTCAGGCAACTTTCAAGGGTCTTACTCTAGAGGTTCAAGGAGGACAACACTGGCAGCCCGACCAATTTAGTCCGTTATGCCCGCTTCTACAGGTAATTACTCTAGAACTCCACCTCAGAATTTGTTTCAGGATAGACAGGTAGCCAAACCTTCGGCGGGCAGCATGCTATATTTTGATCGTACTTGCTACAATTGTAGAGAACCTGGGTATATGAGGAGAGATTGTCCCCACCCGCTCATGTCGGATTTCGTGCATCAGCAGTCTAGGGCAGTGGTACCCACGGGAAATGGTAATAATGGTCGAAGATGTCCACAAGGTGGGCGAGGAGGTAATCAGTGAGGTCATGAGGGTAGAGGAAATGGTAATGTAGGCAAAGTACAGTGCAGCCAGGCAGGTAAATAGCTCGTCAAGATGTTAGGGCTCAATGTTATGCCTTTCCGGGCAAGAGTGAGGCAGAGGCGTTTGACGCAGTGATCAGAGGTACTATTCTTGTATGTGATCGGATGTCTAATGTGTTATTTGATCTGGGTTCCACTTGTTCTTATGTATTAGTACGATTTGCCTAAAAATTTGCAATGATTTGTGATATACTTGATGCCTCCATCCATGTTTCTACCCTAGTTGGAAAGTTTGTCATAGTCACCTATGTCTACCATTGCTGGCCCCAAGCGAACCCTTGGCCTGGCTTACTTAACTTCGTGGAAGACAATATTCATATCTGTAATGATGAATGACATTTAACTGAACTGAATAATAAGATAACTGAGAAAGTTAAAGATTAAACATTCAACTTGGACAAAAGTGGCAACCCAAGTCTTGACAATAAGAATTGATGATGAAAAGACTCAAATGACTAACATTTGACTGTCTATGAAGCCTCTAATAACAACTGAGATGGATGATGAGACAGACCCCACAACATCCTAATAAACTAAACTAGAAAGCAATGAAATGGATCCTCCGGAAAGCAAGGAGGCTCACCAGCAGACTCTGAACTGCTCACTGGATCACCGATGCATCAAAATGTCGATCCTAGTTACCTGTGTCTGCATCATAAAATGATGCAGGCCAACTGGCATCAGTACATTGAACGTACGAGTATGCGAATTGGAATGCTAAAACAACAAAGGCTAGAAAGAATCAGAAAGAAACTGAAGAACTTACCTGGCTCAACTCAACTGAACTTAACCTGACTGAACTCATTTCAATATAAAGCAATTTAAAACAAGTGCAATATAAACAAAAGCTATTTAAAAACACTATTTTAACTCTGTGTGTATGCAAAGATACAAATGACTCTGAGATGTATGTAAAAAAAATACAAAAAACTGATGTATATAAAAATACAATAACTTGTGTGGGAGTTTCTCTAACCGACAACCATCACATAGGAGCTATAATGATGATACAACGATCTACCTCACGCTGGCAACGCATCCTATACCCAGATAAATGTATAGAACCTGAACTGCCTAATGGATCCACTAGTCTATTGCGAAAATGATTCATCTGAAAAGTATGACCCTTTTCTACCCATGGTGGCTACATGGTTCTATGGTGACGTGTGTTATCTAAACTCATGCTCGTCCCCAATTTGGTGCTCAATACTACTCCCAAAATACACTGGCTCTTATGTTTTAAAAACATACTTCTTCTGTGATTTGAGATTAGTGCTCAAAAACTTAGCTCAAAGGCTATCATGGAAATCAAAGTTTCCCCTCTTGCTTCATTAAGAAAGCGATTACTTTTTCTGAAAACTGGCCCGAAGGCTCTTTGGATATCTCAATTTCCGTTCTTATTTAAATGTGAAATCATTTTAAATCTCTTTGGGAATACTTAGTCCCCATATACTTTTGAAGAAATGAATTTCAAGTTTACTCTTTGCTTAACTTAAAGCTTGAGCCTTCAAACGAAGGTAAAACGTTTGTTAAAGACTCTTGAAAGCTTTAAAAAACTTTGCTTTGACTTGCTTCTTAACTTCTAGACTTTGACTCTTAGCTTCTATGACTTTGATCCTAACTTTCCTCGAATTGGATTATGAATTCAAGGTTCATGATCTCATGTTGATGGATGATTTCATGATGTTTAGATGTACCTTAGAGTGTTAGAATCAACTAGGAAACATAGGTACATCACTTAGGAACTAGTACGAAAAGGTGGGGGAAGAATGGGGAGAACTGGCGTCCTTGGCGCTCTGAAAGGTGCGGGGCGCCAACCCTCAAATTTCAGAGGACCAGCTGGGGTGCGCTGGCTGGCGCGTCGCCCCAAAGGGTGAACTTCAGAGCCCCTTTTGGGGTGCGATGGCTGGCGTGACTCCCCACCCCCTTCCATAGGTTTTTGACGACTTTTCTTCTCCGTTTTTCAACTCTATACCTCAATGGTTCTTTCCACAAACACTTAGAATCATTTATACCTCCATTATACATCATATTCTACTCGAAAAACTCAACCAAAACATGAATCAATATCAAGAAAACTCCAACAACTCAACCTAAAAGAATTCTAACAAATATCATCAAGAACTCAAGGAATTTACTTTCAAATCAAACATATTTCGCTGAATTGAATCATGATTGGCATGTGGGCGAAGTAACCCATTGCTATGCGATCTCACATACCTTGTAGGGATCACCCCCGATGAATTCCACAAGTTAAACTTAGACGATCTTGGCGGTTCCTGATTTCTCTTCTCCTTTCTCCTATTTTCTCTTTTCTCCAAGCCCTAGCATGAATTCTAATTTTTCTAAACTGACCAAAAACTAGTTTTACCCCAATAAATCTTCTAAGAACGAATTAGAATAATTAGGTAAGGAAAAGACTAAATCGCCCTTCAAAAATCCGGATTAGACTTTTTTAAATCCAACAACCCAACTTCCAAAGGGGATAACTTGCTCATACGAACTCGGAATCGCGCAAACTCAGCATCGTTGGAAAGATCATTCCAAGAGCTTTCCAACCATATCTGAAACTACACCTAGCTTCTCCTGAGCTAGGATTTATGGCCGTTTGAAGTTGACCAAAACTCATTTTTTTTCTAACTTGACAATTTCCAGATTTTCATTCTTTCCCAAAATGACTATTTCAACTTCTTAGCTTCTTCCTAGTTATTTCAAATTACGAGATGTTACAATATCTCCCCCTTGGAAACATTCTTCCTCGATTGAGATTACTCTTACTAGGCTAAGAGTGTTACATCAAGTTCAAACACCCAACAAGCAATTGCAAACAAACAACATGCTCACTCATAATTTAAAGAGTACTAAGAAGAGAATTAGTACCTTGGTCTGCATTTTCTCCGAACTCAAAGAAATGTGGATATCTCTTCTTCATATCCTCTTCGGCTTCCGAAGTAGCTTCTTCAACAAATTGAATCATCCAAAGGACTTTGACTGATGCAACCTCTTTTGTCCTCAACTTGCGAACTTGGCGATCTAGAATTTGAACTGGAATCTCCTCATAAGATAAGCCATTCTTGATCTCAATACTTTCAGTTGGTATGATCAATGAAGGATCGTCCATGCACTTCTTCAACATAGAGATGTGAAACACCGGATGAACCGCAGCTAACTCTTGTGGTAGCTCCAACTCATAAGCTACATTGCCCATCCTTTTGGATATTCGATAAGGCCCAATATACTGGGGACTAAGTTTCCCCTTTCTACCAAACCTCATAACACCCTTCATGGGTGAAACCTTTAGATATACCCAATCATCTACTTCCAACTATAACGCCCTTTTCCTAACATCAGTGTAGGATTTCTGACGACTCTGTGCCATTTTCAACCTCTCTTGAATCACTTTAACCTTCTCCATAGCTTGGTGGACTAAATCTGGTCCTATCAACCCTGCTTTACCAACTTCAAACCATCCAATATGAGATCTGCATCTTCTCCCATAAAGAGCTTCATAAGGAGCCATTTGGATGCTAGAGTGGTAATTGTTGTTGTAAGCAAACTCAATGAGAGGCAGGTGATCATCCCAATTACCCTTGAAATCAATCACGCAAGCCCTCAACATATCCTCTAAGGTCTGAATAGTGCTTTCTGCTTGCCCATCAGTCTGAGGATGAAAAGCAGTACTTAAGTTCACTTTTGAACCCAAGCCTTTCTGAAAAGATTTCCAGAACTGTGTAGTAAATTGTGCACCTCTATCTGAAATAATGCAGACTGGAACCCCATGAAGTCTTACCACCTCCGAAATATATAACTTGGCATAATCCTCTGCTGAATGGGTAATCCTTACCGGTAAAAAGTGCGCTGATTTTGTCATTCTGTCGACAATCACCCAAATAGAATCATGTTGTATGCGAGACCTTGACAAGCCTGTGATGAAATCCATATTTATCATCTCCCACTTCCATTTCGGAAGTTCTATATTTTGAGCCAAACCACCGGGACTTTGGTGTTCTACTTTCACTTGTTGGAAATTTGGACACTTAACAACAAACTCTGCAATGCCCTTCTTCATGCCATTCCACCAATACACTTCTCTAAAATAACGATACATCTTTGTGGAACCCGGATGAATGGAATATCTGGAGCTATGAACCTCCTCCATGATCCTCTCTTGGAGTCCATCCACCATTGGTACGCACAATCTACCTTGATATCTCAATACACCATCTCCCCCTTGTTCAAAAGCTAGTACTCTTTGCTTGTGAACATTTGCCTTTAAGTCTAGCAAAATGGGATCTCGAGCTTGCTTTTCTTTCACTTCTGACACTAGTGATGATTTAGCCCCATTCATCACCACCATTTCTCATTATGTGGAATCCATAAGGCAGACTCCTAAGAGTGCAAGTCTATGCACATCCTTAGCTAAATCTCTCTTTTCTTCCTCAACATGGGCGGTACTACCCATAGATAACCTGCCTAAAGCATCGGCAACCACATTAGCCTTACCTGGGTGGTAAAGAATACTCATGTCGTAATTCTTGAGTAATTCTAACCACCTCCTTTGTCTGAGATTAAGCTCTTTCTCCGTGAACACATATTGAAGGATCTTATGATCAATGAATATATCAATATGAACACCATACAAATAATGATGTCATATCTTCAAAGTGAATATTACAACAGCCAAATCTACGTCATGGGTTGGGTAGTTCTTTTCATGAACTTTCAACTGTCTGGAGGCATAACCTATAATTTTGCCATTCTGCATTAAAACACAACCCAAGCCAACCCTAGATGCATCGCAATACACCACAAATCCTTGAGTACCTTCTGGTAAGGTTAACACTGGGACAGTAGTCAACCTCTTTTTCAATTCCTGAAAGCTTTTCTCACAAGCTTTAGACCATTGAAATTTTACTATTTTCTGAGTCAACTTTGTCAACAGTGAAGAAATGGACGAGAAACCCTCTACAAACCTTCTATAATAGCCAGCCAAACCCAAGAAACTCCTAATATCAGTTGGGGATGTGGGTCTAGGACAATTCTGCACTGCCTCAATTTTCTGAGTATCAACTTTAATTCCCTCTCCAGACATAATATGGCCTAAGAATGCCATAGACTCAAGCCAAAACTCACACTTAGAGAACTTGGCATACATCTCCTTATCTTTCAAAGTCTGAAAAACTATTCTGAGATGACTAGCATAAACTTCTTCATTCCTTGAATAGATTAGTATGTCATCAATGAAGACGATAACAAACATATATAAATACGGTTTGAAGACTCTATTCATAAGGTCCATGAACGCTGCAGGTGCATTGGTCAAACTGAATGACATGACCTTAAACTTATAATGACCATAATAGGTCCTAAATGCTGTCTTGGGAATATCACATTCCCTTACTCTCAATTGGTGGTAGGCTGATTTGAGGTCAATTTTTGAAAAACATGAAGCACCCTGAAGTTGATCGAAAAGATCATCAATTCTCAGAAGCGGATACTTATGCTTGATGGCAACCTTGTTCAACTGAGACCAGAGCGCCCCAAGGTGACCATCTTTCTTTCTCACAAATAAGACCAGAGCGCCCCAAGGTGAGACGCTTGGTCGAATAAAGCCCTTATCTAAAAGATCTTTCAACTGCTCCTTCAACTTTTTCAACTCTGCTGGTGCCATTCTATATGGCAGAATAGATATCGGACGAGTATCTGGAAGAAGATCTATACCGAAGTCTATCTCTCTCTCAGGAGGGACTTCCGGAAGATTATCTGGAAAGGCTTCTGGAAACTCTTTTACTACTGCAACTGACTGAATAAGAGATATCTCAACACTCGAGTCATTAACTTGGACTAAGTGATAGACACACCCTTTAGAAACTAACTTCCTTGCCTTAAGGTACGAAATGAAAAGACCCTTAGGCACTGCTGAACTGTTTTTCCACTCTAAGACTGGCTCATTTGGAAACTGAAACTTGACTACTCGAGTTCTATAATCAACTGAAGCATAATAGGCATGAAGCCAGTCCATGCGAACAATGACCTCAAAATCTACCATGTCTAACTCAATTAAATCAGCCATGGTATTCTTGTGATTGACGGAAATGAGACAATCACGATAGACTCCTCTGCTAGAATAGACTCACCAACAGGTGTAGAGACACTGAATGGTTCTCTAAGTTGCTCAGGAATAACATCAAATTCATAGCAACATATGGAGTTACAAAAGATAAACTCGCTCCTTGATCTAGCAAGGCATATAGAGTAAAGTCAAAGACTTGAATCATACCAGTGACGACATCTGGCGAATCCTCTTGCTCTTGGCGACTACTGATAGCATATAAGAGGTTTGTTCCTCCGCTAGTACCGGAAGTAGCCCCTCTATGTGCAATTATGTCTGGTGGAGCAACTGATGAAGAGTGGGCTCTATTGCCCCCATTACCTTTTCCCTGCTTGCTCTTTGGACACTCTCGCATGAAATGCCCAGTCTGGCCACACATGAAACAACCAGTGGAGCCCTCACGACACACACCTGAATGGTTCCTACCACACTTGGCACAGACAGAAGGCTTACTAACCCCTTGCACCACACTCCCCTGAGAATAGGCAGGCTTAGCCCTAGAATTCTGACCATAGTACTCACCCTTGTTCTTAGGTGTAGGTGCACTAGCATATGATGGAACATGTTCCTTTTGTTTCTGTTGGAAAGATGATCGGTTGGCATTACTCTTCTGCTGCCTGGACTCGTTCCTTGTCTTAGCCCTCCTGTTCTTGAACTCCTCTCTATCTCTCAGCTTCTCTTCCTCTACCAGCTGCACATAGACCATCAACCTTGAAATGTCCATGTCCCCAATAAGCATTTCTACCCGACCCTCTTTGCTTGATAGACGACACAACCCAGCAACAAACAAGCTCATTCTACTTCTCATGTCCTTAACCATTTTCGGAGCATAACAGGATAGTTGGGTGAACTTCAACCCATACTCATTAACACTCAGAGAATCCTACTTAAGTGTGAAGAACTCACGTACCTTAGCCTCTTTCAGTTCGCGGGGTAAGAAACACCCCAAGAAAGCCTCTTCAAAACATGCCCAACTCTCAGGTGGTGCATCTTCATCTCTACCCCATTTCCACTGATCAAACCAAGTCCTAGCATCATTCTTCATCTGATATGCAGCTAACTCAATTCTCTCAGTATCAACAACATGCATCACATCGAATACCTTTTTCAGTTCCTCAGTGAAGTTCTGTGGATCCTCAGTAGTTCTTGAACCAGTGAAACTTGGGGGATTCATCCTCAAGAACTCACAAATCCATGAAGTGTCAGCCTCTCCCTGTCGAGCTCCTCCTTGCTGCCCAACTTTATTGGCCACAACTTGACTGAGCATTCTTACAGCCTCACGGAACTCAACATTTGTCACTTCTCCTTGTGGTTGCACTTCAGGTGCATTGGGTAACTTTTGTTCCTCAACATTGCGTCTAGCAGGATGACCTCTGATAGCTCTTCGTGGAGGTATGATTATCTGAAACACGCGCAAGCACGAATTAGAGGGAAACTTTTAGAGATTAAACTCTAACGCACGAAATGAGTGTGAAGGAAGTGAAGAAATTCCTATATGTTGCAGCCTCCTAATTATAGATGTGGCACGCTTCACACCGATAACTAGGACTCTATAGACACGACTTCATAGACTCCCTAGGACTCTTGAACTTGGCTCTGATACCAAGTTTGTCACGCCCCGAGCCTACACCCTGGATGTGGCCGGCATTCGAAGACCATTGCTGGCCCCAAGCGAACCCTTGACCTGGCTTACTTAACTCAGCGAAAGACAATATTCATATCTATAATAATCAATGACATTTAACTGAATTGAATAATAAGATAACTGAGAATGTTAAAGATTAAATATTCAACTTGGACAAAAGTGGCAACCCAAGTCTTGACAATAAGAATTGATGATGAAAGGAATTAAAGGACTAGCATCTGACTGTCTATGAAGCCTTTAATAACAACTGACATGGATGTTGAGATAGATCCCATAACATCCTAATAAACTAAACTAGAAAGCAATGAAATGGATCCTCTGGAAAGCAAGGAGGCTCACCAACAGACTCTGAACTACTCACTGGATCAACGATGCGTCGGAATGCCGATCCTAGTTACCTGTGTCTGCATCATAAGACGATGCAGGCCAACTGGCATCAATACATTGAATGTACTAGTATGCGAGTTGGAATGCTAAAACAACAAAGGCTAGAAAGAATCAAAAAGAAACTGAAGAACTTACCTGGCTCAACTTAACTCAACCTGACTGAACTCATTTTAATAAAAAGCAATTTAAAACAAGTGCAATATAAAGAAAAACTATTTAAAAACATTATTTTAACTCTATGTGAATGCAAAGATATCAATGACTCGGAAATGTATGTAAAAATTCAATAAACTGATATATATATAAAATACAATAACTTCTTTGGGAGTTTTTCTAACTGACAACCATCACATAAAAACTATAATGATGATACAACGATCTACCCCACGCTGCTAACACATCCTATATCCGGCCAAAGGTATAGAACCTGAACTGCCTAATGGATCCACTAGTCTATTGCGAAAAAGATTCATCTAAAAAGTATGACCCTTTTCTACCCACGGTGGCTACATGGTTCTATGGTGACATGAGTTATCTAAACTCACGCTCGCCCCCAATTCGGTGCTCAATACTACTCCCAAAATACACTGGCTCTTATGTTTTAAAAACATACTTCTTCTGTGATTTGAGATTAGTGTTCAAAAACTTAGCTCAAAGGCTATCTTGGAAATCAAAGTTTCCCATCTTGCTTCATTTAGAAAGTGATTACTTTTTTTGAAAACTGGCCCGAAGGATCTTTGGAAATCTAAGTTTTCGTTCTTATTTAAGTGTGAAAACATTTTAAATCTCCTTGGAAATACTTAGTCCCCATATACTTTAGAAGAAATGAAATTCAAGTTAACTCTTTTCTTAACTTAAAGCTTGAGCCTTAAAACGAAGGTAAAGCGTTTGTTAAAGACACTTGAAAACTTTAAGAAACTTTGCTTTGACTTTCTTCTTAACTTCTAGACTTTGACTCTTAGCTTCTATGACTTTGATCTTAACTTTCCTCGAATTGGATTATGGATACAATGTTCATGATCTCATGTTTATGGATGATTTCTTGATGTTTGGATGTACTTTAGAGTGCTAGAATCAACTAGGAAACATAGGTACATCACTTAGGTAGTAGTACAAAAATGTGGGGGAAGAATGGGGAGAACTGGCGTCCCTGGCGCTCTAAGAGGCGTGGGGCGCCAGCCCTTAAGCTTCAGAGGACCAGCTGGGGTGCGCTTGCTAGTGTGTCGCCCCAAGGGGTGAACTTCAGTGCCCCTTTTGGGGTGCGTTGGCTGGCGCGACTCCCCACCCCATTCCCTAGGTTTTTGATGATTTTTCTTCTCCATATTTCAACTCTAAACTTCAATGGTTCTTTCCCCAAACACTTAGAATCACTTATACCTCCATTATAAATCAGATTCTACTCGAAAAACTCAACCAAAACATGAATCAATCTCAAGAAAACTCCAGCAACTCAACCCGCAAGAATTCAAACAAATATCATCAAGAACTCAAGGAATTTACTTTCAAATCAAACATATTTCGCTGAATTGAATCATGATTGGCGTGTGGGCGAAGTAACCCAACGCTATGTGATCTCACATACCATGTAGGGATCACCCCCGACGAATTCCACAAGTTAAACTTAGACGATCTTGGCGGTTCTTGATTTCTGTTCTCCTTTCTCCTTTTCTCTCTTTTCTCCAAGTCCTAGCGTGAATTCTAATTTTTCTAAACTGACCAAAAACTGGTTTTATCCCAATAAATCTCCTAAGAAGGAATTATAATAATTAGGTAAGGAAAAGACTAAATCGCCCTTCAAAAATCCGGATTAGACTTTCCTAAATCCAACAACCCAACTTCCAAAGGGGATAACTTACTCATATGAACTCGGAATTGCAAAAACTTAGCGGCGTTGGAAAGATAATTTCAAGAGATTTCCAACCATATCTGGAACTACACCTAACTTCTCCTGAGCTAGGAGTTATGGCCGTTTGAAGTTGACCAAAAACTCATTTTTTTTCTAACTTGACAAAATTTCCAAATTTTCATTCTTTCCAAAAATGACTATTTCAACTTCTTAGCTTCTTCCTAGTTATTTCAAATTGTGAGATGTTACAGGGCTGATTTGGTGATTTTGGTAGATGACTGACTTTGACATAATCTTAGGCATGACTTGGTTGTCCCCCTATTATGTTGTGTATAATTGTAATACTATGTCTGTGACTCTAGAAATTTCGGGAAGGGAAAAAGTAGAGTGGGAAGGGGTGTACAAGCCTAAGCAACCTAAGATCATATCCACCATACGGGCTAGAAAATTGGTAGGGCAGGGTGTTTAGTTTATTTGGCTCATATTCAGGATGTGGAGGTTGAGTCTCCATCTATTGAGTCTATTCATGTGGTGTCTGAATTTAGAGAAGTGATTCCTACGGATTTGCCTGGTATGCCTCCGGATAGAGATATAGATTTCTGTATTGATTTGGAACCTGGTACCCGCCCCATTTCTATCCCTCCAAATCGCATAGCCCCGACAGAGTTAAGAGAGCTTAAGGATCAAATCCAAGAGCTTCTTGATAAAAGATTTATCCATCCTAGTGGTTCCCCATGTGGTGCCCCAATTTTGTTTGTTAAGAAAAAAGATGGTAATATGAGGATGAGTATAATTATCGGCAATTGAATAAGGTTACCATTCGAAACAAGTACCCTTTGCCTCAGATAGATGATCTTTTTGACCAATTGTAAGGTGCATCAGTCTTCTCTAAAATTGATCTAAGGTCTGGTTACCATCAATTAAAAATTAGGCCTAAGGATGTGCCCAAGACGATGTTTAGAACCCGCTATGGACACTATGAGTTCCTAGTTATGTCTTTTGGTTTGACTAATGCACCTGCAGCTTTCATGAGTTTGATGAATGGGGTGTTCAAGCCATTTCTTGACTTAATTCTTATAGTCTTTATTGATGACATTTTGGTCTATTCAAAAAGTGAGGAAGAGCATGCCGACCATCTTCTTATTGTTATGGGTGTTCTTGGGAAACAAAGGTTGTATGCGAAATTTCCTAAGTGCAAATTTTGGTTGACTTCGGTTGCATTTTTGGGACATGTAGTTTCAAAAGAATGGGTAATGGTAGATCCTCAAAAGATTGAGGCGGTTAAGAATTGGAGTTGGCCTAGCTCTATGACAGAAGTTAGGAGTTTTGTGGGCTCGCTAGCTATTATCGTTGATTTGTAAAGAACTTTGCTTCTATTGCCACTCACTTGACAAATTTGACCAAAAAGGAGATACCATTTGAATGGACTGAAAAAATGTGAGGAGAGCTTCCAAAAGCTCAAGACTTTCTTGACCATCGCACCTATTCTAGCATTACCGTTTAAGGGTAAAGATTTTATTATTTATTGTGATGCTTCACATTATGGTTTGGGTGCTATGATGATGTAGGATAAAAATTTTATAGCTTATGCATCGCGTCAATTGAAGGTGCATGAGAGGAATTATCCAACACATGATTTGGAGTTGGCAGCGGTAGTGTTCGCTCTTAAGATCTGGCGGCATTATCTCTATGGGGTCAAGTGTGAAGTGTTTACTAATCATCGTAGTTTTATGCATGTGTTCACTCAAAAGGATCTGAATTTGAGACAACGAAGGTGGATGGAGTTACTCAAAGATTATGATGTGACCATTCAATACCATCCGGGTAAGGCAAATGTGGTGGCAGACGCTTTGTCAAAAATTGGTGAGTATGGGTAGTTTAGCTGATATTTTCGATTTTCCATTATAAAATTTGAAGTTATAAGAAAGTGGTAAGGCACAAGAGACCAGTCTTGATGCAGAATGTGTGCTCAGTTTTAAGGGAAAGATTTGTGTTCCTCGAGTTGATGACTTGATTCAGAAATTGTTGACAGAATCCCATGGCTAGCGATATTCTATTCATCTGGGTGTGACCAAGATGTACCGAGACTTGAAGAGAATTTATTGGTGGTCGGGCATGAAAAGGATATAGCGGAGTTTGTGGCAAAGTGTCAAAATTGCCAATAAGTAAAATATGAACATCAAAGGCCTAGAAGTTTGCTTCAGAGAATGCTAATTCCGGAATGGAAGTAGGACAGGATAGCCATGGATTTTGTGGTTGGTCTTCCCAAGACTTTGGGGAAGTTTGATTCTATTTGGGTAGTGGTTGGCAGATTGACTAAGTCAGCTTATTCTGGGAAGAATATATTATAATGCTGAACAATTAGCTATGGTGTATGTGAAAGAGCTAGTGAGGTTGCATGGGGTTCCCCTCTCTATCATCTCAGACCGTGGTACCCAATTCACATCCAAGTTTTGGAGGAAATTACATGATGAATTGGGCACACAACTCACTTTTAGTATAGCCTTCCATCCACAGACGGATGGGAAATCAGAGAGGACTATTAAAGTGTTAGAAGACATATTCAGGGCATGTGCGATTGATTTTGGAGGGCCTTGGGATAAGTTCTTACCTTTGTGTGAGTTCTCCTATAATAATAGTTACCACTCCAGCATAGATATGGCACCATTTGAGGCACTTTTTGGGAGAGGATATAGATCACCCATAGGGTGGTTCGAGGCTGGAGATGTGAAACCTTTAGGAGCTGATTTAGTAAATGATGTTCAAGATAAGGTGAGAAGTATTCAAGCCCAAAGTAGACATAAAAAGTATGTAGACCATAAGGTAAGAGATAGGAATTTCAGACTGGTGAGAATGTTCTTCTTAAGGTATCACCTATGAAAGGGGTGATGAGATTTGGCAAGAAGGGCAAGCTAAGTCCGCGATACATTGGTCCCTTTGAGGTTCTTGAATATGTAGGGCCAGTGGCTTATAGATTGGCTTTACCTCCTCATCTATCTGGAGTTCATCCGGTATTCCATGTGTCCATGTGTTGAAGAGATATCATGGTGACGGGGATTACATCATTAAATGGGACTCAATCGTGTTAGACAAAGATCTCCAATATGAGGAGGAACCGGTTGAAATTCTTGATCGTTATGTGTGTAAGTTAGGACCAAGGAGATTAAGTCTGTGAAGGTTCAATGGAAGAATCTTCCAGTTGAGGAAGCTACTTGGGAAACCGAGAAGGACATGCGAGACAAGTATCCCCAATTGTTCGTCGATTCAGGTAGTACTCAATTCTTTCTTTAGCCTGTTTTTCCTAAGTTTGTCACTCAGGGACGAGTGATGGGTAAATTGGTATCTATTATAACGACATGTTCATGTCGTTATAGAAAAGCCAACGGGGAAAATTTTTGGGCTGAAAAACTTTTTCGTAGTAACTTGGATTTTCCCAACCTAGTCCAGATTTGGATGGAATCGGAGTCATTAAAGTCTAGGGAAATATGGTAGCTATTGGGTGATTTAATTATGGTTTTAATTACATGAGTAGATAGCTAAGACGATAAGGAACCCGTACGACTTTACAGAATTGAATTCGGGTGAGTAGAACTCCCAAAACTGATCTTGGCGTGAACGGGTAATTTCTGAGTGTCGTTGGTTGAAGGTGTGTTGTGAAATAGGGGTATTGGAATTATTAAAATTTCTCACTGTTCTGTGCAAGCCGCTATAGCGGGATTTCTGCCGCTGTAGTGGGGTGAGACAGTTGTGGTGGGACAGACGCAACTTAAAGTCGAAAATAAACCCCAAAAACATTTTATTCTGCAATTTTCGAACTTGAGAGCTAAGGAACGAACCCAGGAAACTTCTTGACAGTTTTCCACCATTCTTGAGGCTAAATATAAGGTTTTAACTCCCCGAGTCCATTTTTCGATTCGTAGAACGTAATCTAATAGGTAATTATCGATGGGGGAGGGTTTTGATCTGGAATTTATGGTGGAAACAACCCTAATTTGGATATTGGGATCAAGGGTTTGATCTAGGGTGGATAAAATTGTTAGTAATTCGGGAAATTAGTTATTGTTTATTGATTCCCATGTTATATTGATCGTTTGTAGATCAAGAACAAACAGAATGAATTTGGAAAGGGAAGAATCAAGTTTCTTAGGGGATTCAAGCTTGTTTCGAGGTAGGCGATAGTTGTGATTTCTTGATTGTGTGATATATGTTTGTTCTTGCTTCATTATGATGCATGTATGTATGCAAATGTTGCATTATTGATCACACTAGTTGTAAATGGGGATAAATGAATGATGTTTCCATGAAATCATGACTTGATTGTATGATTATGAGAATATACTTGTGATTGTGATTGTGATTGTGGCTTGTTGAATGGATCAGGTGTTGCGTTCTGACACACTAACTTGGATTTGTTGCCACGTTCCGGCATAATTATGGGATCTATTGCCACGTTTCGACATAAACATTGGATCGGGTATCACGAACCGGTACACTAATAGTTTGGGTTTCGGTTCCATGAGAGGACCATTGACTTGAC